CCCCTGAATGGACCCCTCTTGTGGATGGCTCACATCATCCGTATCTAGTACAATAGGGCAACCTCTGGCCTCTGCCAGCAACACACTGTGCAACTCCACTTTTTGCGTGTTTATACTGGCTTTCGCGGAAAGAGAATACATCTCTGGACATGTCGTGTGGACGTGCTTCTTCACAATTGCCTATGCTTGCTTCCTGCCTCCCTGTTTCTCTATTGATATGTTTTGTACTATGTCAGCACGATTCAACAGGGCTCGAATGGCCTGCAAGGGCAGGAATATCGGCAGCCCCAGTTCCCTATATGGGCGAGGGAAGGGAACGCCTTTGACATCAAGCATGGTGAGCCGTGCTGTCTATGAGCTTCTGGAGTATGGGGATTCGGCTTCACTTCGAGAGCTGCGCCTGGTCTTACAGGACCGGACATGCATCGGCATGACATCCCAGAAGTCCTTCATAAGGCAAGTGGCAGAACATACCTTCGCGACACTGACTTGTGGTCTCGACTTTATGCATTTGCCGCTGGAACAAGTAGCACGACTGCGAGACCCGTATCTCACCGTATGTCGGTAGGTGGGAACGTTTGTGCAGTACAGTTGCTACAGGTGCTGCTAGTGTTGTTGTTCCGTGCATGACACATGAAAGCGTGCTGTTCACAGAGCTTCACGACCTCGGCGGCGCCATCGTTGCGCCTTCTACATTTATCCATGCTGGGGCTGACAAGCTGCCAAACGCAAATGCGTGGCATGATAGCCTTGCGAGGAACACATGCTGCCATTTCAGGTTGTCTTCGGAGTCTGTGGGACAACATGTGCATGAACGTCGCCGTACTGTGTTGGACTACAACAGTTACAACAAAATGTGGACCCAGCCTTCGGACAAGACGGTCGGTGGTGGTGACAGTATTGCAGCTGGCATAGCAGCCATTTCGCAGGACGTCGTTCAAGGACGTACCATTCGAACGGAAGTCGTTGATTCGGTCATTGATCGAGGCCGGCATTGGGCTTCGAGGCTTCAGTGGCAGCAAGGCCAAAACTCCAGCTTGGGTTCCTGTCTTGTGGAGCGCTTATTGTTGGACGATGGCAAAAGACGCAAGCTCAGGCATTGTCTGCAAAATGATCTTTCTGGCACATATGTCCACTCGTTGTTCGAGTACGCAGATGGGGCTACTGGGTCCGGCAACGAGGCGCAGCCCGATGATTCCTGCTTGGGCTATCCTTTGCTCGAGCGCCTGCTGCTTGATGACTTTCGTGAGGCCTCTACAAACGGATACGGTTCCCGTGAGTCCCAGGTTGTATCGTCCTGACGCCCTGCGCAGAGCTTTGTCTTGTATGTGACGGCATGAACCGCCTGATTTCACCATCCCGCTTTTGTTTGTGTTTGCCGGGTTATAGGTGGGACGACTTTTCGGTCCAAAGGACTGGTCGGTTACATCTCACTTACCCAGCCCTGATATGCTTGAGCGCAAACTGGCACGGCTGTCACGCCTCAACCAGATTTCTGCGACAGGCTTTTGAATTCAATTAGATGCAAGCCAATGGGCTGCGTCCGACCGTGACACTGTGCCCCAAAAGAGCGAAAGAGCACGATTCAACGACAAGGGTCTGAGTCGCAGGCAACCTACCCCCTTCGCTCTTGTCCTTGAGGCGCTTCAGCATGGGCAGTATGCCTGAATCAACCCACCCAACTGACCATTCCATGGCCATCCGGCACTGGCTACGAGTCGCACCTCTAGGAGGGTTGATGTTGGGCAGACCATCGGTGAAGAGCATTATCTGCAGGCAGCCGTGGCGCGGTCCCAGTATCAAGAAGGGGTGGAACTACTCCCGCCACCCACAGGTTTGTCATGCTTGCAGACACAGGACGAGCACTGTCTTCCCAGGGCTCCGGCATGTTGCAGACGATTGGAGTCTGCAGCACCTTCCTTCAACAAGGTCAGACCTTAGACTCAACCAGTATGTTGTATCGAATTGACAAGGTGTGAGAAGTCGAGCTCATGATAGTGGGATATTGTCCGCCTGAAGTGGACAGACTGCGGGCGGATTCATTGGGCAGCTGTGAAAGCAATCGAACGTCACCCACGTTCGGTTCGTGCTCGGTCGGTGCCGAATGGTGCCGACATTGCTGGTAGCAGCGAATGCCAGGACCGAGTACATGTAGAAGTCGGCTTCGGAGCTTCCCTATCGGCCCTATCGATCCTTCCCATGTGACTTCGACTCTGAGAGAGCCTGAGCAACGGGCCTGTTTGCAAGCCATCCCAGAGGTTTGTCATGCCTCAGTGCTCCGCAGCACTCGAGTCTGACATCCTACATGTTGCGAGCCTACGGCCTGGTGCACTCGCGCATATATTGACAAACGATAACCGTAAAGCTGCTGTCCACATCTCCAAAGAACCCCTCGCACCAAGGCGTGCCATGCAAGGCACCCTCGGCCACAAGCTCCTTCAGCTTGTTCTCTGAGAGCTTCCTGAGAACTTCGCATGCTTCACCACAAGCAAATCTCGTAGACCACCATCAGCAGCATGCACATCCCTTCCCTAGGTTTTTCCTTCTCCCCAGGTCTCGTTGTGATCCGAGCTGGGCTGGAGCCTGTCCTGCCGTTCTCGTTCATTTCCGTCAGAGGGAAGATGGTCTTGGCCGCGTTGGAGTATGCCACCAATGCCTCAACAGTACTGTAAGACTGTAAGTGACCGGAGGCGTGCTGCAACGAGGGTCTGATGTTGATGTGAGCAAGCACGGACCCAGTATGGCTTGAAATGCTCGAATCTTATGCAGCTCAACAGCGCTGCAGAACGCGGTCCGGACTGAAACTGGGCCAATGACTAAGCGGTCGCCACCACTCAAGTTGGCCTTGATGGCCGTGAAGCCGCGCAGGAAGCAAAGAACGGACAGACATGATGATAGGATGGTGTCTGCAAGTTGCCTAAAGACTGTGCGACAAAGTATCAAAGTCGCCATTCAACTGTCAGCAAAAGCCGTTTCTTGCGGACCTAGTGGCAATGATAGTTCGCAGGGCATGCTTGACTATGTCCAAGACGGAGAGGCCATGGCTGCTAGACCTAAGCAAAACGCACTTTGCCTCAACCTCCGAGTTGGTAACAACATGGAGACCTGGAGGATTTCTATACTGTACCGGAGCTGCATGACCTGCTGTCACAACTTCCTGGCTTCGTTTTGCGAGCTGCGCTGCAGCTGCACAGCCGCTAGGTTCCAAGCATCGTCCCATCTTCGCTCTGTAGAAGTGCATCGTTGCTCATGGAGCCTGACCTGGCATCACACAGTCCTGCAAAAGCCGCTCCGAAACAGGAAGGACGAATCTTTTGCCGGTTTTGCTGCCAGCTGTAACAGTGTGGAAACTGCTAGACCGGCAAGGGTCTACTCCCAACCGGCTGGGCTAGGCTTTGGATTTTCCGGCCGTGGGAGTCGTTGTTTTGCATTTTGAGAGCCGAACACATGCCAACTTGGTCTTGCAGAGAACCCCCAACGAATTGAAAAAAAGCCATCATTAACCAGTTCGACTGCTTTGAAACAGCTAAGTCGGGACAACCCAGTTTTGAAGAGGACCCGGAAAGCAAACAGTCACATGCAGCCTAAGTTGGCCATTGAAGCCGTTCATTACCGTTCCGAAATGCAAAAAAGTCTTTCCTCCGAGTCGGTCTGAAGCGGCGAAAACAGCGAACGATTTCACCCCTTTCCCCAATGCCGACAGATGACGACAGGCCATGCGTGACATCGCATGTCGCTGCAACCGTGCATCCGTCGGATAACCGGCTTTTGCTACAACGCAGCGCTTCTGGTCAATGAGAAGCTGACAGATTCCAATACATGGCATGCGTGCACTTGGACATTCCGTGATGTGCCACCTGGGTTCCCGACACATCAACGACACAGCAAATGTCAGACGGTGTTCGCGCAGTTCCTCCGGCAGATCATTCGCGCTTTCAACTCCCGGCTAAAGCAACCGCGCCAAGTGGGACAACAGCACCCAGTTCAAGGCTTTCGAACACTTCGCAGTTTGATGGCCTGGCGGCGGCTGAATGGAGACCAGCACCGGTCTCAGGCCATCTTGGCCTGCACTGGTCAGCAACAGCAAGTTCATGGCAAGCTTGGAGCAGACTGTCCCCACCCAAAAGCTTCCGACTGAAGCACCTGTCTAGCTGTGACTGCACATCATCGAACCAAAAGCAGTTGTTCTCCAACCTGCGTCGCCGACAGCTGTCAAGGCTGAGATCGCCTCATGCTATGGGGAATGTCTCGAAGTGCTGACTGAAATCTGTTTCACTCCGGCCACCGGCGCAATAAGTGCTGTTGGACTGGGTACACAGTGCACCTGACACCTTTCGACCCGCTGATGCTTCGCTGCAGCCCTCGTACCATCCCGTGCCCTGGATAAACAGCTGGTGTGGACAGAGCAGCTTAGCGGCTTCGCGCTTTCAATGCTTGCAAGTGACATTCATCCGCTGTCCCGAACTGAGCTGGAGGCTACGTCTTCAGGCGCTGGTGGAGGCAGCGGTGCCATGCCTGGCCCTTTCCCGAGTGCAGGCCACACACGAACACACACAGACGAAGAAACAAAAACAAAAACAGAGTTTATCTCTGCAATGCTGCGCAGCCACAAGTTATTCAAAGCTGCTTGGCAAGTCACAAAAGATACCAACTGAAAGCACCCCATGAGTTGCAGAAGCACCCAAGCCTGATGCCTTCCACCAGCCAGGCCGGCTTGTCTGAGTGATTTGCATATGAGTTATGCTTAGAGCTGTACGGCTTACCACCTTTCTTCGCTTCGAGTTCAGTGGGGCAGCAAATGTGCGAAACCATTGCTGTCCTCATGCTCCGGTACATGACCATTGCATGATGTAAAAGCCGTTGATGCGCATATCTACGCTTCGAGCCAGGATTTTGCACCAGATTCCAAGTGACCCAACGGCACTCGCCAGGTAATGTGAATCTAAGGCGAGGAATACAAAGCCAATGCCATTCCTCCTCCTACACACGCTGGACCGCACCTCATGCTGGAGGATGTCCGACTGCGAGAAAACCATGCTGATAATGCCTCTACACAGCGGATGACAGGAAAAGCGACTCAGTCAGGGTGTGCGACTTGTGTCTATTGCTAGATAGATAGATAGATAGATAGATAGATGGATAGATAGATAAATTGACAGATTGATAGATAGATAGATAGATAGATAGATAGATAGCTAGGTATATAGATAGGTAGATAGTATGATTGATTCACAGCATGCGCAAATGTATGCATGGGTACAGACACGCGTATCTCTGCAGATGTACCTGTGGGAGGATACGCAAAAGCATGTCCATGCATGCATGTACATACGGGGGTATGCATGCATGTATGTACTCGAATTTGTCAATAATCTGATTTTTTCGGTCCAGCTCGGCCGTTCGATCAACAATCAGATCGACATGACTTATCCATCAGTCATTGCAAACGGGGCAGACCACGTTGCTCTTCATCTAGGTTATGACTGGGTCACGCAAGCAGACCCTCAGACATGCACTGATCAGTTTCCCTACATGCATTGTTACGATGAGGAAGACGAATCGGAACTGCGACATTCTCACGAAATCTGCGTTCTGTGCTCAACAGTGCTCGGTGAGACAAGGCCTATCTGACCGTGACAAACGAACAGTTGCAGCGGCTAACCAACGACACGGTGCCTATCGTCTCTTCGTCCAGGAGGAGCACCTTCATGCCAGAGATCCGATCAACCATGGCCTGGCTAGCCGCAAGTCTTCGCCTACTGGTACTGTTCGAACATATCGTGGAAGTCAAGGCAAACTCCCAATTTCACACTTGAGCTTTGCCAGCAGCTTTGTCATTCTTTGATTCTACATGCATACCACCGAAAGCAGCAAAATCCCAGCCTGGATATACTCCTGGACTCCAGCGACGATGCTAAGAGTCGCCATGATGTGGCGCGTTGTTAACAAATCTTTTTAATGCAACTGGCTGCTTGCGCACAAAACCAACATCAACATCAAGCAATTAGAGTGCTTACGCCAAAACTCGACATGCTCCTGGCTTAGCTCGTAGCCTTGTAACGGGGCTAGCATCATGCAGCAGCCAGGGGCTACAGGTGTCCATGAGTTGCGAGCAAGCGGCCGGGCCGCATGGCTGATTACGCAGTCGTCAGCAAAAGGTGGGCTGAGATGTTAAAGTTCTGTAAGCCATGGGCATGGAACAAAGCCCTGCTGAGCCGAATTGGTCCATGCATCCGCTTCACTTCCACACACAGCGCTCCTGGTTACAATTGCGGAGATGCTGAAAGTCCCGGTCGGCAGGGAGCGCAGTTGCTAACTTGCAAGTCTTGCTACCGGGCGATGCTTGAAGTGATTGAAGCATTGACAACGCAATGCAACAGAGGATCATGTTTGATCTATGCATGCCGCGACGTGAACAAGAGAAACTGCCATAATAGTCTGTCGGAATGGTTCCTGCTGCTCCTCCTTCCCACGTTTCTCACATTTGCTCATTCACATTCCAAATTCAAAGTCCGAGGCGCAGGGCGCTGCCCTCGTGCAAAGTACCACAGAGCAGCTGCAACTGGCTTCAACCCCCACCGTCTGCGAGTTGGGAGGATGCTGAACACAAGAGGAGATGACATGAAGTATTTGCGGCTGGGCGCCGGTCTAGACTGCACACTGCCGGCGCATCTGTGAGATGCACTCATTTCATGTCAACAGACATATTGCAAAGCGCACGGTAGCAGCAAATGTGTAGCTCTGCACCGTCCGATTTAGCGGGCCGCGACCGCCAGCTCCGCGTATCCAACAGCTCTTGTGATGTTCACACGCTCAACTGGCCTGCGGCCAGGAAGCGCACCGAAGGCAAAGCTGTCAGTCTTCGGTGCCACGGAAGTGGCGAAGTTTTGGTGAAGCTTCTGCTGTTCTTGCATCGACAAAGATTGCATTTGTCTGCTCGCGCTTCTCACATTGCTACAGGCCCTCTACTTCTACCCATGGCCCAGACGCATCCTGGGCAGACTGGTCTTCAGATATCTTGTGAACATGGACGCATTTCATCAACACATTTTGCGCGGCACCGTGGTAAGCAAACAATGGAAGTTCCAGGGACCCTCGTCCCAGTCGGGAGACTTAGCAGCTCCAGCCCAGGGCTTTGACCTCGTACTCTTGAACTAGCTATTGAAGTGTCAACACTCTTCCTATCTCTGCTCCTCTGTGTATAACCAATGGCAAGAGTCATTGCCCTCGCTGGCTCGAATGTACTGTGCCCCGAAGATCTCGTGTAAAAACATGTTGCTTTGCGCACACTCTGAACGCACAAGTCCTTGAGGACGTGTTCAGGGCTGTTCAGCTGGAAAATGCCCCCAGCCACAAGCAGTGATGAGAGGCACCTCAAACGAAGACCTGGCCCTGCTCTGAGCACTTGCACAAGCCTTCATAGAAGCTCAGTTGCTTGAAGTCGCAGCGGAATGTCTTGTTCAGGATCAGACCTGCCACAGCATTGTACGAGAAGCACAGCGCGTCAGGGGTCTGAACCTGCTTTTGGGTCTCGATGTTGGTGGCCAGAGCTACAGAGATGTTGAGCTCAGGGTAAAAGGCCGCAATGCTTTGATATCCATAAGTGGCACCCAGATGACCATAGGCAACCCCTAGCTTGCCGAAATGCCCAGATGACATGAGCCCAATGTTGAAGGCACCGAGTCCGTAGATGTGCAACCAATGGGGTTTCATCTGATCTATCAGCTCCTTGGGAGCCACGCTGCTTGGAGGCCCCCAAATCTCCCAGGTCAAGTCCGCGATCTGCGCCGGGGTTGCCACGACGTTGCTGGCTGTCCATCCCGCGAAAATGCCTTCGACCTGCCAATTATTGTGGTTGCTCACATTCCCGGGTGGCAGGTTGTATGAAGTTCGATCGTAGCCTGGCACTGCACCATTGTCCTTCGGGGAGCCCTTGTTCGCAAAGAGGATCTGACCTTGGAGGTATTCAGGCAGGAACTTCGTCTGGTTGAGGTCTGACCAGTGCTCGACACCGGCATGCTGGGCCAGTGCCAAGCCCAACAGTATGTAGTTGGTGCTGCTGTAGCAGAATTTGCCGGTAACGAAATGCCATTTGCATTTCTTCGTCCCTGCCACCCATGGCATACTTATCAGCTCCGCAGGCTCGTAGAAGTGGTCTGCCTTACGATAAAGCTCAGCCCGCAAAGGATCCTTCGAGATGGCACTCTCTTCAGGGTCGGCTGTGTCGAAATCGGGAATATTGGTCTGCATGCCCAGCAGCTCTCGAACGGTGGTTTTCGCGGCATCCTTACCCCAGACTTGCTCCATGGTGGTGAAGTTTTGCTTCGAGTCCTTACCTGCCATTTTCGCAAGAACGGGGTCCACCAGTGGACCGATCGGATCGTCGAGTCGAAAAAAGCCCTCTGCCACCAGCTTCATGACCGATGCGGCAGTGACCATCTTTGTCACACTTCCCCAAGGGTACAAGTCTGTTGCTGCTGCCTTCTGGCCTGCCTCAAAGTTGACAGTGCCAGCGGCAGCTTGTGCAGACCCCTCTGGCGTCCGGACGGCAATGCTCATCGAGCAGTTGTACTGGGCACTTTTCGATCTGGCCACCTCGGCCAAGGCAGTCTGCAGCGCCTCCGGAGAAACTGCTCGGCATACTGCTGCCAGCAAAAAGAATGCTGACCCCCTCCGTGCCATCGCCATCACTCTCATTCGTCGGAACCAACTGCACAAATGTGAGCAGCCTTGAGCCAAAATGACTCAAGGGATCCCTCTTGCCTGCTATCTGTTTCCGCGAATATTTGAAAGCTTCAAAGGCCTGCGGAGTACGCTCATGTCTTCAACTGCACAGCAAGCACGCATTGTGGACATGTAAAATGAGAAATTGTTGTCACCCCACCTCAAAGTTCCGAAGAGGCTGAGGATCTCTGCCACCAACAATTCTCGGTGTCCACATGTCTAGAACAAAACACAGCCAACTCAGTTCACAATGCTCCGATGCTCTAAATGCTGAGGTTGTCCTTGAAGTTCTTGCAGCAGCATGTCTTTTGCAGATCCGATCTGAGCACAGACTCAAATGCAGAGAGTGGAACTATAGCTTCACACTGACATGGGAGACACTTTCTCATCCCATGGCGATAGCTCATGTCAAAGCCAGGTCGTGTTGACCCATCAGTGACACATCAGAAACAGAAGTGCCAGAAAGCTCCAGCTCGGTAGCCGCCCCGATAGCGTTGTCCCGCTAACTCCTGCGCGACAGCTGCCTCGATACGCATACCAGGTGTTGTTGGTTAAGCCGTTGTGAGCGTTCCCATCAACGCAGACAGCGCCGCAAGGAAGCTCAACAACTCCGGTCTCACTGTGGTTCCCCGCACAGTAGGAACTGCCAGCGTATGTTTTGACAACAAGGTTCCTGCTAATCAACTCTACATGCTGTGATTCTGTGATTACCTCGCCATCTTCGATTTTGCCAGTGGCACGACATCCTGCCGGCAAGATGTGCTGCACAAGCAGCTCTTGGTCCTCACAGCCTGACCTGTTGTATGACGCGACGACGTATCCTTCCATGTCAATGCAAGAGAGCAGCTTCTGCTTGTTGTTGCATGTATCATAGAGAGTGAACTGAGAGGAAGTAGCATTGCCTGCACAATCTTCATTTTCATGTAGAGATGCAGAAACTCCAGTGTCGTTGCACATCATTTCGACGAACCCATCGTCCGTGCATCCACTCAGCAAGAACTCCTCCATGTAAGGCGCACCGCTGCAGAGTGAATCGTCGTACAGAGCTCGTCTGATCATCATCTTGCCCAGTGACTGATTGCAAAGCAGCGCAGCACTCAGAACCAGCAGCCAACTTCGAACCATCATGTTCAGTGCACTATCCTTGAGTAGCTGGCTACTACGGTTGTGCTATTTCTTGGGTGTTCCAAAAGAGAAGAGCTTAGAAGGTCATGTCACGTTGTCGCAATGGCTGCGATGTGCTGACAGAGACTGCGCTGCAAGATCAAGTTGAGCGGCTGTTGGTTTACGCAGCACTTGAGCCCATCGAGTCCACCTGCAGCATGATTACATTCCCTAGGATCGGGGAAGCAAGCGGCGTGCGAGCTGCGCGCAGGACCTGCAGGATGCGGCTTGCAGAAATCGATCACAAGACTCCGAGGCACAGCTGGATTACTTCAACTCGTGTACAACCGAGCTCTCCGTAGCCCACCTCACCGGCTGTGGCTGGAAAACTGACATAGCAAAACCGGTGCTTGGGATGAAAATGGCAGGCTGCTGAGAATGACGATGATGCTGACGGTACAGGTCATGACGACGATGAATTACATTTCCAAAGCTGATCTTGTCGAAGGATCGGAAGGCAGGGAAGGGAGCGAGCTCTGGAGTCTGGTTGAACCTGCTGCACCGAGCAGGCTAAGTGCATCTCGACCACACTTGAGACGAAATATCAAAAACGCGCAATATGGCGAAACCACAGTGGGGTCTACGCCTACGCGTTACACTAGCGGCGTCATGAGCAGGTTGATGCCTTTTCGACTGAACTTGCAACTCTGTGACACTCTCCTTTCGGGGAGCGCTTTTCAGCGCTCGCTTCAAGCGACGCGCACACATTAAATCCCGTCCCAGGCACAGCATGTGAGCAGCGAATGAAGAGCTGGACACCGCTGGCACCGGGGCATCGCTTGAGGCAGGAACCTGAATGCTACGGGCTGCCACGAATAATGATTCAGGCGGCTCCTTCCTTACACTTCGGGTCCTTTATGTTGGTTGCTTTTTCCGAAGACGAGCTTGCCCACAGAAAATCTCCAAATCCTACGATTGAGTAAGCAACATTACGGCTGGGAGATGGCCAATCGTTCAAGACTGTGTCTCGCTGCCTGTTTGAGCATGGGGGAAGTCCACTGCTCAGCTTGCAGCGCTGCTCGAAAGTAGCTATTGCTGATCAAGACTGCTTTCGACAAGAGCACTAAAAGTCACTAGCACCAAACTGCAGCTTGCGGCTATCAGCTCTAACAGTTCTATGCAAGGAGCCACACAGCTTTGTGAAACATATTCAACTTCGCCTCTTGAGGTCAGGTTGCCACGTTTAGTTTACGCTTACAGCCACTCGTCTGATTTGCACTGTGCTCTCGCCGCTCATGTGGTGTAGGGCAGGGTTGGAGCATCTGGCTGCATGGATCCGCAACATGCCGCAAAAGTGCCACCACTTCACATGCCTCTGAGCCGTAGCGGGCAGGAGCTCCGCAGCTTCTTCTACCCCCCTCAGAAACGCACGCGCTGCTCAGACTTTCAAGCAATGCGGACAGTCCGGAAAGCATTCTCCGCCTTCTCTGCCCTGGCAGCGTCGACTCACACCGGAGTGAATCATAGTGAATCGGACACTACACCACTCTGCACAACTGCTTAAGCTTGCCTCAGTTTGTTGAAACCGGCTCCGATCTAATGCAGACGGCTGCTGAAGCACCAGCGCTTTTGAAAGCAAGAACCGACACACATGCGCGTGAGATCCTCAAGTGAAAACCTCGCCGGTGGGACGCCGACCCGGAGCCGACCTGGTGATGTCTGGGACGGGGGCTGTGATGGCTGTTTAGGGACAGTTGCAAGTTCTCGCCTTCGGCCTGGTCAGGTCCGCAGTGGACTTTTGCATCATCGTCTTCATGTCACGCACCTGCGGACTCGAAAGCCTAAGAACATGGCGACATGCTCTTGAGTGACTCCGGGCCGTTTGCATGTGAGCACTTTGCTGTTCAGTAACTGTGGTGTCAGCACAGTTTTGCTCCGGGCACTCGTTATCAGGAAGAGCGCGATCCTCGAGAGGGGTCGCTTAGAATGCTGATTTTTTCGTTGTGCAGTGGCGGTGAGCACGATTTGAAGCAGGTATTTAGCAAAAATTCTGAGCTGATGTCACAAACTTAGTAACTTAGCAAAACATACGCAAACAGTATTCGCCTCGGCCCCGGCCGAAGCGGTCAGAGGTTCCTATTCGGATTCCCTCGAGTCCCCACCTCTTAATCCCCTCCCAGTGACCCTACCCTGCAAAGTTGCCTTTCTGGGGGGGGAGGGGGTGTTCGTCTGTGTGGATGAGCCCCAAGGTCCTGCGGCGAAATCTCGCCTCCTCCAATGGATCTGGGCCCACCCACGGCCGCTCGCTCCCAGCCCCGCTCCCCCAATTCCAGGCCTCCGACCCTCTCCCCGGCCCGCCCGCCCTTCCCCTCGCTTTCCCTCCACTGTTGCTTCCGCTGTTCCGCCATTCTTGCTTTTGTTCTTGCTTGCACTGGCTGAGAGCGGCAGCCGTCGATGCGCTGCAAGCCAGAAGTCCTCGACACGAAGCACAGGCCCAATTTCCTGCCCGTTTTCAAACTCGAGTTTCTGAGCCTGCTTTCCACTTTAATTGCTTTTTTGCCTCGTCTCTTTCCTCCGCCGTCCAGTTTTTCCTCGCCCCCTTCTCTTTTGTTTTTTGTCTCATACCATCCCTTCAGTCTTTCCGTACGAAGGTGAGCTACAGTAAATTGGCACCAGCAGTTCGTTGTTGCGGAACAAAAAGCTATTCAGTCCAAAACACCTTCGCTTGAGAGACGCTTGAAGTACTACTACAAAGCATGGAATACGCAGGATCATCGTCAGGCAAATATGAGATGAACACGAAATCCCCAGAAGCAAAAGGACCCTAACCTTAAAGAAATCACTGAATAGCGAAAACCTGCACCCAAAGACACCAAACCCATCGGAAAACCTTTGAACACGACATGTCAGAAGTTCCAGTAACGCTCAGAATGATCGAGGCTTTGACCCTACAGGCGCGGGCCCTTCTTGCGGAACGGAACATTCTCATGCACAACGCACGACGGACCGGACGCCATCATCCCCCCCGTCATGATCTCCTTCTTCATCATCACAGTCTCATCGTCGACATGGTCCTCATCGTCATCATACCATATCATATTATGTCCATATCCGAACTGGACGTCATCATCCCCCCAATCCCAATCCTACATCAAAAGAAAGTAAGTTCGAAGGGAGAGCGCAAGTCCAACAAACCGAAATGAGACGTCCACACAGCAAAACCCCGAATGGTGCCAAAACCCGGGAAACCTGCACTGCAAAACCATGAAACCTTCGAAATACGCGGAGTTGCTGGAGGGCGTCATGCCAAGAACTAACATACTGGTAGGTAGGACATTCAGGCTGGCCAGCGGTTCTGATAGTGAGACGGCGTCGAATAACGAAAACAAACCCATCCCTCCCGATCTCTCTGGGAAGTCTTGCGTGATAAGGCCTGCTGTGACACTAAGACACCACGGGTACCGATTTGGCCAGGGAGTTTAAGGATACACGGTTCTCTTGCACAGTCAACTCACAGTGAACAAGGTCTGCACCAGGCATTGCTGGCCTGAGTCATCGTGCAGCTGCTGGTGACGTCTGCTCCTAAGTGGCACTGTCTCCCGGTTCGCCGATTGGATAGATATATATAATATATACATACATACATACATACATACATACATACATACATATATATATACAAGTCAAGACATTGCTGTCGGCTCTAGAGGCTGGCTGTAGTGCGGCTGGCAGCAGCAGCCGAAGCAACAGCAGAGTAACAAAGCACAAAACCTGTGCTACCCACCATCCGAGTGACAGAGCTGGGCTTTGAGGCCACAGAAACTGAAACAGATTTCCTTCGCTGTAAAACCTGCTTTCTATCCAGGTCATGCCCCAGACAGATGAACGCCGGTTGCTCCAGTGTGAGTGGGGCGGCATGACACAGATCGCACAGTCTGTGATTTCTGGAAGTGGTGTATCTTGATCGAAAACACTAGCAGTCCTCGCTTTTTCTCATCCTTGTCGAAGAACGTGCTGCTACCACGCCTGAGTACATCAGCGGTTTAGGGTTCAGCCCGGCCTGAGCTCCTGAGCTCAAGATCTGGGTTGTGGACTTCGTTTTGGATGCATCGGCCTTTCCTTCGAAACGCGGAGTTTTCTCCAGCCACGGGGTTATAGTATTGTGCGCAGTCGATACGATGTTTCTGCCCTCCACCCCAGCAGCTAACACCAGTTGCTGCAAAGTCATTCAAACAGGAATTCCTGCAGCTCCGCCTTCTCGTCCGCTGCGACCCTCCGCAGCCCCTGAGACAAGGAAGGGGAAACAAGGGTGTAGAAAAAACATCCATGTTCTGCAACGGGCTCAACAAGCCAAGGCTATGTTCCGAACTCAGGATTCCTGTTGGATCTGAGCCACAATGACCCAAGATAATGGCAACCAACGGATCGACCACCTGCAATGTCACCAGTCTCTGCGCTGCCTCTGGCGAGATTTGGAAGGCTGACAGATTCCCCGTCCTGGCAACTGAAGGCCGCAAGAAGTCACAGCTACCCGGTAAGCCTGGCCTTTCCCAGGCGCCGAGGCCCACCTTTCTGAAGACCTGCGACGACACTGACGACAGGCTTCAAGGAGTCGCAGCAACAGGACGCGAAGTCCACAGATTCAAGAAGCTATACTACAGTTAGAGGTGGTTACGTAGTCGCTTTGAGCGACAAACACAAGCGTGGACTGAGGGGCAGCACGGAAAATGCGGGTAAGAGTCTGGAATCATGGAGTCGCTTTCCAGACGTCGCAACCGACGTCATGGGGGCCGGAAGGCGAACGAAGGAGCTGAATAAATCTTGCGGACCACCTAGACCGTAAAAAAATCGCTGAGAGGCCGAAGTGCAAGACGTTCCTGCCATGAAAAACACTAGAGTGTTAACACTTTGCTGCGACTAAAAAAAATGACATGTCAATGCAGAAGCTGACCAGGACTAGTTGACTAGAGCGGCAGCAGAAGATGCACGAACAATCCCCTCTAAGAAAGGAGCAGACTCTAAACTGGCCAGTTTGGCCACCATGTTTAGGGAACAGCCCATAGCAGCCTCGTGTAAACATTAAAGCAAAGAACGGTCGGAGCCAAATTAATTACTTCTTAACTTCGTGCTGGTGGTTCTTTCCTTGTCCAAGGTTTGTTGTCATAGTGTTGCTGTAGCTTTCCCTGGCCGTCACAGTGTTTCCAACGATTTCCGGGAGAAACCCTACAAAAGCGAATGGTTCAGTTCTGTTAAATAGAAGACCCCCTCGTGAAACCAGTTTTACCACGATCCCTCACATGCGTGATGCTCAGGCCGCAAGGCCCACCAACCTGCTGTGTCAAGGAGTAGTAGACGGCTTTGGGGTAGGAGCTACGACACTTACTTTCGCCAAGGGTGGGAAATGCCTCGCCTCATCTCTGCGCCTCTATGGCCCAGCTGAAATCCCCAGCCAAGTTCCTCCCGAAAACGGAGGGCCCCCGGCTCTTGGTCTCGGCTCGGTAGAGTGGTGTTGGAAAGGCAAAAAGGCGCAAGCAAGGTCACAGCTTCCGGGTATTGAAAACGCAGCGCGGTCCCCTCATGGTAGGTTCACCAAAGAGGCAGTGCCAGTGATGCCCAAGGCAGACAGGCAAGATGTGGGAAGAATACATCCCCCCTCGCACGAAGTCCTTGCGCTTCAACAGATGCATTGTCTAGGAGACTCTCTTGCAATTCCTTCTTCGAAAGAGTTACTCTGTTTATCGTGCCGCATTTCATTCGGAAAGGCCTTGTCGTCTTGGCCAAGCTTGCCTGCTTTGTTCTTGGGTTTGCGATGCTTTTCGTGTCAAGCGCCCTGGACCAGCGCTGCGCATTCAGAGGGATATCCCTCTGACAAAAGCTGCAGAGGAGACTGACGCAGTCTCCACTTCCGAGAGCCAGGCCGGTCCCAGCAGCCTCGAAGAGGTCCGGTGCGCTGGTTTGGGCGAGGCGGTTAACAACCTAAGCGAATCGGAACATGACCTGATCTTATGGGGAAGCAACAGAGCTTGCCTTCGTGCGCCGCAACTTGTCCATCTGAAAACCAACATACCTTTGCGATGTCATATCACTGCTAGACTGCTTGCCACTGATGGTTTCAAAAACATCATCGTTTCGAGACATTTCGAGCATGCACCGTCCAACTCTGAGAAATTGACTCGGCATCGTTCATCAAGCGCTCGCGGCGCATTCGCTCGTCAGCGCTCCCAACTGCACAGGGCTTTGCGTCAAAGCAGACACCGGGCACCAAAATGCACAGTTCGCAATGCGATCGGCTGACAAGGGGGGGCGCACAATCCTCGTCCCAGCGAGCCCTTGGCTCACGAGCAGGCACTCAAATCCCACCAGCAGCTGAACGCAGCACTGCAGCCAAGCCAACAGCTGGAAGCCATCACCCCAAGCAAGCCAAGAGCCCAACGTGTTACCAATGGTTTCCTTGGAGGGCTTCGCAGTGCGCCTGTCCAAGCAAGCGTGCCGTGGAGACTGCCGGGGAGTGGCTCACTTGGCAGGTCGAAGTCGCGAAGCTTGAGTGTGCCCAAATCTAAGTAATGAAGCATCCTAAAGTTATCTGAATGCTCTGTGCGGAGCTGCTGTTCGGCTCACAGATGCTTGCCTTGATCCGCCTTTCCATTTCATTGCATACATGGTCTTACTTGCTGCTACGATTCTGCAGGCCCTGGCCTCTTCGAGCCCTTCCGCTCTGTCGACGCAGTGGTTTCAGTGGTCTTGGAGTCGCTGGGGCCCAAATCCTGCAAGTGGCCGGCGATGTCGAAGTTTATGCCGTGAATTCCGGTCCCCCACTCCTTCCCCACCAGGTCTGGAAGGATGTACTTCTCTTTGGTCTCTGCGTGAGCCTAGCAAACTTCGAAGACAGTCAGACCTGAGAATGTCTGACAATGTGGGCGTGTCTGTCTTTTGATGAAAGACTGCACCGACTGGTCTCTCGCAAGTGGTGTGGCCGTCTCGTCTGTCTAAACCATCCTTTGGACTTTGGGCAATTGCAGAGTTGTCAAGTCGAGTTGTGCAGCAGGTGCCAACTTCCTCTCTGCACCATGCCCCAGGTGCACCTCTCTGTGCGATGACTGCTTGGCCTTCAGGACGACACATCGGGAACTCTTTGCAGGGACATGTTGCATGTACTGAGTCTGAGACATGCAAAGCAATCCCACACGGTTGGGGCCAAGGCTTTCACGATGGTCATGAGGCTGCCTGTGCGAAAGGCCTTGGCGAACCAGCTGTGTCAAGGCGACGGGGGTGGAGACTCACAGAGCTGCCCAACCCTGTGTGAATCAGAATCTGACACCGCGTGCTGCCAGCACTGCCATGCATGATGAGATGGTGCTGGATTCACCTACTATACCCACATCCAGAAACCTGAAATCAACCTTGATAAGAAACAACCTGCCATGACTGGTAGGATAGCCACAGTGTGCAAGGCTGCAGCATCCACTACCTCAGCTCTGGCGCTAGGAACATGGACCGAGTCCCAAACGCATGCTTTGAAATCATGGCCCACAGCTGGAACAAAACATAAGGCAAGTAAATGTGCCTGACCCCTCATTCGCACCGACAGGCTCTGAGGCCCTGAGGCCCGTGCCAGCGGATCAAAAATCGACTCCCCGACCTCCCCTTCTCCATCGCTGGAGTCAGAAGAATCGGAGTCCAATCGCTCTCCCAGGCCTGCGGACTAGGAGATGCGTCATGTTTGCACTCAGCGACTCTTAGTCTTAGGCTACCCGGCAACCTGATCGTAAAAAGAATGCAACGAAGACTACATCGCTTCCATCGCCACAAAGCACGAACAACTCTTTGCATGTGCAGCGCTTTGCCTGTCTGGAGTGAAGTGGCCAAATCTTTCACGATAAGCCTCGGATGCATTTCCTAAAGCAGACTCACGGAGCAGGCGCTCGTACAAGTAGGGTCCGTCCGCATTTCGCAATTGTGATCCCGGTTGATATTTTGTACATGTCGGTCTTCGCGGACTGTGGACCCCGGCGACAGCTTCGCTGACACCTTGCTAGATGACGGCGCGCAGTGCCAGCATCGCTTGTGGTCCCCTTCCGCCTAGTAAGGTTGAAGTGTCCCGTGCAAACACGGTCGGCCAGGGTGATTGGCCTCATGCTCTTTGCCGAAGTGATTGTCCTCCGGCATTCACCGGATCCACCGGCAAGCACTGTTTGCCCGTCACGTTCCGTTTGAGCTGTTTCCCGAAAGACTGGCAGAGACGCAGGACTGGCGAACTCGCAGGACTCCGTATCAGCCCCCTCCAGCTCGGTCGCTCAGGACTTCTGCTCCACATGGCTGGTCTCGAGTTGATGCTAATTGTGTCTGACTGGTGCCTGTCGTCACGATGGTGCAATCGATTGGTTTTGACTGCCTTCCGACGCTTTCAACTATACCTCGATGATATCAGTACATCTATATCCATATATCTATATATCTATATCTCTATATATATATATATATATCTCTCTCTCTCTCTCTCTTTCTGCAGGGTTAGGGGCTAAGGGGTTCCCCCCACATATATATATATATCTCTCTCTCTCTCTCTCTGTACACACGCCCTATGCCTGCGCAGCCCCACGCCACGCAAGGAGAGCCGGGGGCTGGATTGTGGAAAGGTCTCCGACTAGGTTACTGCTGTCCGCGTCCTCTCCGGGAACGGAAGGAACCGTAAGACGTCGAAGCACCTTCTTCTGCCTCCCCTTCGGTGCCTTAGCCGCCCTCCGTATCTTCCCGGATCCCGAGACTGGAGAGACTGGTCGTCATCAACAAGGCGAACCCCTGGGACATCGGGTTTTCGCTGGATTGAGTTGCCAGCACTGAGGACGACCTCCGCCTCCGCCGGCCGATGCCCTGCATGTGAAGTGCCGAAGGGGTCTCTTCAGAAGCCGCTCCGCGTACTTCAGCACTACATGTCACTACCCCGACTCACTCGGTCGGGATCCATACCCTGCCTCTTGCCGCAGCTTTACCAGGTGCTGCATCCAAGCGCGAAAGGTCTTGGCGCAGCTGAGCTGATCAAGACTGCTTCGCAAAGAATGACCCTTCAACGGCCACAATCTCCCCCAGGTGTTCTCAGCCACGTGCAGCCCCAGCAACTGCGCGAGCCCAGCTGTTGTACCGCAAAAAGCCCACGGGAGCCCTCGCGAGGAATGGGTGAGACTTCAGACCGAATTGAGAAGGCACGATGTCTTCAGGTTTCAGCTTCTTGCAGCGTTCCAGCTCTATTCGGGGCCTGCTGGCTGGAAGTTGAAAGAGCGTCTGCTCAGACCTTCGCACAGTCACAAGCACCTGCTAGCACCTCCTAGCTTCAGAGCTTCTTATGCTTCGTCAATGCTCGTGTTGTCGGGATGCAACAAGGCGACCTGGCTGCGGTCGAGCTGGGCAGCTGAGGCTCAAGCCCGCGCATTGCCATGTATCTGCCCATCTGTGTCCCAGCCTGTCTTCGCTGGCGAGTGCTGCCGGGTCCACTGAGACTAGGCCAACCTGCAACTCATGGGACTCCTCGATTAGCAGGCGGTTCCTGCGTGCCCAGGAAATGTCGAAGCTGAAAACTAAGACTGAAGCTACTTAAGACTGAGTTGTGTCTCGCGCGAAGCCTGCTAGGATCTACCTGTACGACAAAAGTGCAGTCCTGGGCTGCTGGAGCAGGAACTGCAAAGCCTTTCGAACTCCAAGGTCTTTTACGCATGCGCTTGCCACGGTTCCTCCAGCCCGCAGATGCCCGCAGGCTCGGCAAGCTCCGAGTTCCGAGGTCCAACTTTCCCGGCTCAAATGCAGCAATGCACACTGCACGCTGTCAACACTGCCTCGATCGTGAGATTCCCCAGGCCCACGAGACTGACACTGGGCCTCGCCAGCAGGCACATCTCTAGATATCTCTAACCCTAACACGGGAGAGAAAGACTGCCCCACCTCTGTGTTTGACCTCGTTTCGACAAGGGCTCATCCTTTTTGAGCTGTCGCCGCTTGGACCTAGCAACGCTCGTTCTCAGCACATGCGGGCACCTCAGCGTTTCAGTGTTCACAGAAGCCTCTCTGGTCGTAGGAGTCGTAGGCTTCCCGCCTGTTTTCCTCACGCTTTGATATGGCCGACGTGTTGCGGGGGCTCTTGAGGTCGACGGCGTTCACCGGCCGCACAAGCTCATCTGCGAAACTGCTCGCTGCAACATTGCACAGATTTGCCGAGCATTTCCAGCGACCCAACCTAGGAGCCGTCCGTGTGCAAAGCCGTCTGCAGCCATGAGGCTGCAAGAGGCTGCATCTGCAAGCCGGCAGCAGCCGGAGCAAACTTCTATGGTAAGGTCAGCCTCTTTTGCGCACAGACCTGCTTTTGGGATGTGGTTTCCGCCTTTAGCCGCCGTTAATGTCCTGTGTCATGGCTTGTCGATGATGTCCCGCCTGGAGCCATAAAATTCGACATCAGAGGACTGGCGGTCAACATCAAAGACATGTGAGATGCCGATCGCGAGCCACGTAGCCTGTGACCTGAGTGGACCTGCCTGACGTTGGAGTCACAGAAGCGCAAACTGGAAGCAAGGAAAACCGCTAGTGTTTGAAAAACCCTGCGTCCAGAAACTGAAGCCCGACTGCTCCCGCAATGTGCCCAGGGCGGTCGGCCAGGTTGTGAACTGGGCAGGGAGAGGCGCCTTCAAACAGCCACCAATCCTTTTGCACGCGGATTCTCTCCTCGCTTCCAGTTCAGCTGGACTTTCCTTTTCCGGGGCTTCGAATGGCACAATTGGCAGGGATCACAGATCTTCTGCTCTCAACCGTCACCAAATGCCGACACGTGAGGTTCTGTCACGTCACTGGTTCAGCGAGCTCAGCCATCATCTTCGAGGAAAAACACTTTGCAAGCTCATACCGCTGGATAGAGCTGCTTCCTTCGCAGGGGGGACGTGGTAACACCATCCCGGGGCTCTGGCTTCTGCAAGTATGTGCGGATATGTGCGGGAAGGCTTTTTCTCCAGGCCGGTTGGCTGCATACACGACGTCATCCTCAAGCAACCTGAGCAAGCGGTGCGTAAGATTCATCACAGGAAGGCAGCGACTGCAGTACAGCCCTAAATTAACTACCCACAAGTGAATAGGTTGAACTTGATTGAACAGATAACCACCGCCGCCGGCAGATTGGCTCCATCACCTTCATGACCATGCACAGTAGGTATACTGGACGAGGGGTGCTAGTCCTCTTGCGTGGACAGGTATTCCTGAGCGCGTGCTTGATGGGTTGCTTGATGTTGCTTGAGCATGCGGAAGTCGGTGGTCTATGGGCGGAAACAGGAAAGGTGGATGGCGCCCAGTGTGTCTTTGATGTCGATGCTAGCGGAGGTTCTTGAAGCAAGGACCCTCGTACTCGCCTCTGTAGCTGGGGCTTTTCAGCCGTGCCATAGGAAAGTTGAATAGAATTGCCAGGCGCAAGCAGACGGTTGTTAGAGCCAAACTTTATGCACTTGTGCAGCTGTTTATGCACACGTGAGGCCCCATCTTCTTCTCTAGCAACTCCCAGTTGAATGCGAGACTGTTTAAGCGTTTGGTGTCCACCGTGTTTACCCGTCGTTTGCCATCTTCCTGCTCGAATCTGGATGTGGGAACTGCGTGAAATTGCGTGAAGCTTGGTTGGAGCGGCGAGGCACGTAAGTAGAGTCTCACCTCAACTTGCCCATGTTTCAGGCTGAATGTTGTCTAGGCTTTGGCTATGAGCAACACTTCAGCCCATGAAGCGGCCGGGGTTTTTAGTCGCCCTCTTGGTCTTGCGGACTCCGTGCTGATGACCAGCTCAAAGGGGTAAAGAACTGGCTGCAGGCCCGTACAACTCTTGAGTGGATTGCGTGGAGTCGACCCTAGCCATGAGCTGCTTGGTTTCGGTTGTCGCTGGGCTGTCGTCGGACACGAGATTTCGACGTTTGCGCGGGCTCTGCTGTGTTTACGGTCAAAAACTCATGCAAATGCCATTGCATGTAACGTACATTCACATGAACGAACGAAGGATCACAAATACATACCGACGTACATACTTGCATACATACATATTCACATACATACATGCATGCATGCACACATGCATACATACATACATACATACATACATACATACATACGTACACACATGCGTACACACATACATACACACACATACACAAACGTATGAAAACACACTTACATACATGCATGCATGTGCACGTATGGTATACGCTTGTGCACGGTCATGTGACATGCCAATATGTAATTGTGCACACATATCATGCCATGCTGCCTTTAATTTTTGGCATGCGCGGCATGCATCATAAGATGCCTCTATTATGGTGCATTACAGGAAATTCCTCTATCTATCCTGTCATAACCTAGCATTCCATAACCTACTATGTTATAGCATCACACCAGAAAAGGACATACAACATCATATCCCCCTTCATTCCCCCTCTATTTACTTCCGCTTAAAACTACTTCACAATAGATTGCAACCTGTAACCATAATCCCGGTTATCCCTAACATATGCATTACAATCGCACGCATGATGGATATGTTGGCACAGCCGACATGGCCTCTGCAGCAGTCCCCACTGCAAAAAATCTTGTCCAAGGCGCCTCTGCACCTCTTCAGTTCCGAGCTGAAGCTCCTTGAGAGGCCAAAGAAACTAACAAGATTTTAGGAGACATCCGACTTTGCGGCATTCGCAAAAACTGATCTCAGCTTTGCAGGAGAGCGCTGCAACTGGGTCGAAATCCGCACAGCCAGCTGGGACTCGCAGCCTCGGTGAGAACCTCCACTGTGTGCTCACCAAAGCCTTTGCTTCAGGCGCATGAAATGATGTGTTCAGCTCGCTTCTTCAACATTCTGGGCCAGCTGCAGGGTGGACGTCGTGGTGATCCCGTAGGTCGATCACCGAGCCAAGCCACCTCTGTGCATCGTCATGCGCCAGTATGGATGGCCTACCCAAAACCTGATCAACGGCACGACATGCTGGCGGTGCAGTTCATCATACTGGGGATGCTGTGCCTGGCGCAGTCCCACAGGCTTCCCGAGCTCGTCGCGGACCACCAAAGCCTGGCCGTTGGACTGGACCAGATGGAGCTTTGAAACCCAACATTATGTCACATCGCCTGGGCAGACTCTGTGTCAAACACTTTGGCCATGTCGGCCACTGCCCCCGCAGGGACCTGCCAGGAAGCCATGATGTCACCGACATGGATCGCAACAAACAGCAGTATCAGCTTGAATCGCACTCCGGCAAGGCTACCCTCACATCCAAGGCCATGGTGGAGAGAGGGAGGACAGTACGGAAAAGTAACCGCCTATCTGGGCTGCCATAGACAAAAGGAAGAGCCGTGTGATTCTAGGCTGCATTCCTACACAACACGTAGGGGTCTGTGGAAATGATATGCTCGCTTAGGGGAATGAACATGGGTTTATCTCCTTCTGTGGAGGTGTCTACTACAGAATAGGGGCTGCCTTCTTTTGGGAAGCACCCTCCTCCCCCGCATCCTCCTCCCACTACTCACTGCTACTACTGCTACTACCATCGCTACTCACTAATTACTACTTACTCCTTACTCCGCACTACATACTATGTACAACGCACTATGCACTACGCGCTACTCACTACTCACTACTCACCACTGACCACTTACCACATACTACTTGCTGACTGCTACTTGCTACTTGCTACTTGCTACTTGCTACTTGCTACTTGCTACTTACTACTTACTACTTACTACTTACTACTTACTACTTACTACTTACTACTTCCTACTTCCTACTTCCTACTTCCTACTTCCTACTTCCTACTTCCTACTTCCTACTTCCT